CCGCTCCAGTGGCTACAGTGCCTCGGGGTCTGGCCTTGGAGGAAGTGGGGCTGGCCAGCCCATTCATCTGCACACTGCCCTCAGAGTGCCCACTCTGAAGCTGGGCACTTCAGGGATGAAACTTCACTTCAGCTTCCAGAAGCTGGAGCTGCCCCAGGGCCCAGAACTGCCCTGGCCATGACGTCTCCAGGGCAGAAGAGAGGAGGTGGGGATCCTCCCCCATGGTGGCGGGGGTCTTGGGCACACCTGTGAACCTCCCTGATGGTGAAAAAGTGGGTCCGACCCCAGGAATAACAGAATTTCCCAAACTAGAGAAAAACCATATATTAAAAGTGCCAAGGCTGGCGGGGAGCACAGACCAGAAGGGGGCCGGGCAGGAAGGGGGTGGAGAGCGAAAGGGATCTTTTTGTCAGTTTTTTTTTAAAAAGAAGCCAATGTAGATATTTCAGGCAACTACTTGGAACATTTCAAAAGAATCGTAAATGCTTAAAAACACCGAGTGAACAGTGCCCCAGGCGCCGTCAACTGGCCGTGATGGATGGATCAGCCAGCAACCTCCCGAGTGCAGCGGTGGCTGTGGGGAGGCTCAGGCTTGAGAGAACAGGCCCCGGGGCAGCCTCATCTGGAGCCAGAGGGCCGGCAGGTGGCCCCTGTCAGCCTYGTCCTCACTTCCTGCTGGGGAAGCAGTGGCCTGTGTCTGTGCTTCTCCTGATGGGTCAAGGCTGGAACCAGGGTCTTGTTGTCAGCCCAACCAGGCTCTCACAGGAGAGTGTCTGCCTGTCCCCATCTAGAGCTTGAATGCTCCTAGTGCTGGGAAGCTCACTGCCTGATTCCTTTGTTGGGCCAGAGTCTGTCTTCCCTGCCTTCGGTTTTCCCTAGTGGTTGGGCTCCCCCTTTCCCTGGGCCCAGGGAGCAGGTCCCAGAACAGCAGTCCTACGAAGCCACAGCGCCAGCCGCTACTCCACGGCAGAGTCTGGAGGGCAGGGCCAGGGTCTTGGGCTGGGGGCAGGGACAGCTTCTGAAGGACACTGTGTCAGCCCTCAGAGACCCCCAGCTCTCCAAGTTGCCCGGAAGGAGCAGACGAGCCCCTGCCCCTGCAGCCAGGCCCAGAAAAATCCCTGCTGTGTGGACTGCCCCTTGGGACAGGTCCATAAACCACAAAAAATCCCCCTTTCCCTTCACCTCCAAGGAGTTTAATCTCTCCTAATCAATTTAGCAGACTCGCTTGGTTGTAAACGGTAATGATTTGCATTTTTGAGCCTTTTTATCCCTCCTTAAGAAAAAAAATACCTCCTCGTTCTGCATTCTGGAAGCCCGAGGACTGCTTGTTAGTGCTGGCCCTGGCGCCCCGCCAGCCGCGCCAGCTGCCTTCACCTGCACTGATTTCAGGATGAACAGGGGAAACGGTGCATGGGACGCCCTGCGGACCCTGGCACGCCCTGGCCCTGACCCTGGGGTCTGGTCCTGGGGCGCGGCCACTGCGTCCCCCAGAGCCCGCTTCCCGCTACCCCCAGCTCCCCGCCTGCYGCCTCCAATTTTCCTTGTTGTATTTTTCATAAGCGAGAGGCTCAGAAGCCCCGTCCTCCTGGCGCGTTCCGCGGGAAGCAGATTTCTGGAGTGGGCTGGCTTTGGGGCTTGAGCTACTGTTGGCCAGGGTGGGATGCTGTCCTGAGGGCGTCCAGCTCCTGCTCTGTCCCCTCCTCAGTGCTGGCTCTGGGGRAGGGGCTCCAGCTGGCCCTCGGTCCTGGAAGCGCTGCCCATCACCCCCAGCTGCAGGCTCAGACTCACCCCTCCACCCTGCAGGGATTCTCCTACCTGCCTGGGGCCAACTAGAATCTTCCAGAATCAGTGGATGGGAGGGGCCCCACTTGGCCTTGGAGCACCCTGCTTTCCTGAGTGAAGCTAGACGCTGCCCCATTGCACCATCTCCCTCCTTCCTGGGCCCCTGGGGAAGGTGGAGGGACTCAGGGCCTGGGGAGGGTGGGAGAGCGGCTTGCAGGGCAGTGTGGGCTTGGGCAAGGAGGGCTGGGCCCTTCCTAGTCCCTGCTGTGTTCCAGTGAGGGTCACCTTCCCTGCCAACATCGCCCAGAGCAAGGAAGGAGCAGCGCCCGGCTTCTGCCCTCAACCCCAGCCTCCCGTCCCTGGTGGGAGAGGCAGGAAGGGCGACCGTGGAGGCCGGCCAGGAAGCGGAGCCCACTTAGTGAAGACAGGCTTCTGAGGCAAGGGGGAAGCGGGGAGGGAAGAAAGGGAGCTTTTGATGCACATCATGTCTGCAGAATTGAGTATGACTAATTAATAGATTTTATTCTTAGTAATCTCTTAAGCATTCCATACGTTGGGCCCCGMGCCTGAGCTGAGCTTACAAGAGGCCTCATTCGCAAAATGCAAATGACACGCGGCCTGCTGCCTTCCCTCCTTCCTCGCCTGTTCTTTCCTTTCCAGTTTTTTTTTTTTTTTTAGGGGAAATTTAAAGGAAAATTGCCATGTAATAGAAAAGAGGTCCCAATCGCTACGTCTGATTACTACGAAGGGTAAACCACTTAACCAGAGATGTGTCGGGGCTGCTCTTCTTTAATCCTGAAACCTGTCTAAATGCCACAACATACACTGGTCCATGCTGGGGCCCGCGAGGTGGTTCTGGCTGGTGGAGGCCGCGGCTCAGGGTGGTGGTGGGCATGTAGCAGCCCGTGGCAGGGAGGTCTTCGTGGGCCCTCCTCCCTCTTACAAGGGTTGGCCAGGCGGGGACGGGGCTCCAAAGGGCACTTGGCTTCAGCCACCCTCTCTGGCTTGGTGGCCCTGGCAAAGCAGACACTTGGTGGCTTGCCCTTAGAAAGGACACTGTGAAGGTCAGGGACAGAAAGGACAAGAAAGGATCCTAGAGGGGGCCCAGGGCCCTGGCTGGGTGGTCTCCACCTTCACCAGCATTAGTACCCTGTGGGGGGTGGGGGGTGCCTCTCCCCCTGTGGGGGCCGGTCAGGCAGACTCTGGTCTCTCGAGCCTGGTGTCACAGACAGGGGAGCAGACCCATGTGGTCCTCGGGCTGGGTGCTCTGCCCGGGCAGTCGGCAGGGCTCTGGCAGGCCTAGGCCTGCTCTGTGGGAAGGGAGGGAGCTTTGCCACCCACCTGCTGCTCTCCGGCACTTGGGCCCTGGGCTGCTTCCCTGCCGAGCAGGGCCTTCTCAGTAGCTCTCAGAGGCGGGGCCACCTGCCACCCCTCAATGGCTTCCTGGCCATCAAGGGGGATTACCTGACCTTCCCTGGGGCAAGGAAAAGAGATGGGAGACCAGGTGAGCTAGGGACAGAGCATGCGGACACTGCCATCTCACAGATGCAGGAGGGGTGACTTGGGGACCTGCCGTGGGGAGGCCAGAAGGGCCCGAGACCCTTTCCTGGGACCCTGGAAGATGCATTGCTTCAGAAATACAGAGCCCTGTGACTTCATCTCCCTGGCTAGTGCCATGTACCTGGCCCTCCTGTGAGCTCCCATTTGTGTTGCRGGGGTCCCCTCTGGTTCCTCCTGGCAGGTGCCACTGCCAGGCCTGCGTCTGGGGCAGCTGGCTGCAGCGGGGGCGGGGGGGGGGCGGGGGGACTGATGTGCACACAGACCTGAAATTAAGGCTCGGGAAGCTTCTCTCCTACCTCCTTGTGTGGGAAAGGATTCAGGCAGGAAAAGGGAACAAAAATGGTCTCCCTTAAACGAACCCTGCCATGCCCTGGGCACTCCCTGGGGCTGGAGGATCCTGTCCCGGTTGGTGGGCGACGGCTTGGACAGCGACGGGAGCCTGGRCCCCATTCTCCTCCCCTGGAGCAGCGGCTGGGTCCACTTGTTTCAGCCCCACCTCTTCGCTGAAGAGCTGCTCRGCTCTTTTGATGTCCAGCGAGCGGACAGCACCTGGCACGTCGTGGGCAGTCCTCTGAATGCGGCTGGACTCTTCTTCCTGCCTTTGCTTTGGTCAAAGTGGCAGAGGCCTTTGAAGGTGCCACTGCCAGGAGCCAGAAGCCTCTCATCCTCCTGCCCTCAAGCCAGCATCTCTTCTCTGATGTCCCTTTTTCCTGGTGCAGGGCAAGTGGCGCTTTGACCAACAGTGACCCACGCTTCCGAGCATGGGAAGCAGCAGGCCTCAGAGCCCGGGCTGCGCTTCCCTCCTCTCCAGGGCCGCTGCCCGCGCTTCATCGTCGTGTTGACCTCGGAACACTGTCAGCCGATAAATGATGGCAGCGTCCCTTCCAGAGGGAGGAAATGAAATCCCAGCTCTTCTGAGGGCCCCGTCAGAGCCTTTTTGGAGGCTGGCATTTTTAAAAAGAGATCTGGTCTCTCATTCCCGAGAACAGAGCCCCAGGTGTGGAGGCTGATGTCTCCCAGTGATTTTCTGAAAATGTTCTTTTTCTGGGCTTTGTTTGTGCAACCGTGGAAACCAATAGATCCAATCAGCTGATTTTATACTAGCTATCAGTCCCTGCACTAATGACCTGCCCCAGGAGGAAGCACGTAGGAAACGCTATTGAGGTGACTCCATCTATTGCGGGAGAAAGAGGGCAGACCAAGAAGGCTTTTCTCTGTATCAGGAAGGAGCGTGGCCCAGCTCTGGCCACACTGAGATGGAATGGAAATGCAGGCCCCCGTGCCCAGCTCCTCCCTCACCCACCCTGCTGGGACACACGCTTCCGCCTCTGGAAACAGCAATACCCGCCACCCAGGCTGAGGCGCCTCCCTCCACCTACTCCCATCCCCAACACGTGGTTTTACTTACTCAATGATTTCTAGGAGAAAGCAACATTTTTGGAATTCTATTGTCTCAGGAAATGGTAAGAACTGACCCAAGAAGGACTTTAAGGACAGTCTGTGCAGCTCTGTCTACCCATCTGGACTGAGAGACGCGACACAGATAGACGGGCAGACAGACGCACCTCCAGGTGGCAGGGCATCTACGGAGTATGCTGCACGGAGCTGAAGAACATTCAGCAGGGGAAAAAAAAAGCTGGATTTTTTTTTTTAATCGACTACATTAATTGTTCCAAGAACGCAGTGGAAGATGCCGTATTTCTGCAAATCTGTAAGGGAAATGGCATGGGAAGAACCAGGGAAGAGGTTTCAGGACAATATCTCCGTAGCGAAAGATCTCTTCTTCTCCCTTCCCCTTTGTGGGGGTCCCGAAATCCTTCCATCACATCGTGGCCAGCCAGGGGCTGGCAGTAGAATCGCTGCATGCGGGCTTCGGATCAGCTGCTTCTCCCTGACGGTTCTTTTGTGACGGCCCTGAACAGAGCGCGAGGTGTCCACAGACGTTGCACAGGTAGTATCTTCCCACTTCAGGAAAAAAAAAAAAATCCCCAGCCCAACCCTTTCTGCAGTTATCTCTTTAGCCTTCCCTTCCCCAACTGGCGCGACGCGGTGTAAGTCACTCTCCAGCAACGCGGAATCCCCTCCTGCCTTCTATTCGTTTAGAGAAAAAAAAAAAAATTTTTTTTTTTTCACTGTCGTGTTCTACAAAATCGATGACCCTCCCCAAACTTGGCCTTCTGCTGGACGGTCGTCATGGACCTTCTCTTCCTTGCTCTCTTGGGTTGCAGCGGGCTGGGCGGAGCCTGTCACCACCCAGGGTCGGCCTTGGGGACAGGGCTGGGCTGGGGCTGGGGGAGCCGGCCTCAGGTGTAGGAGTAGTCTATGTCGGGGATGCCGCCTTCCCGGTAGCCCCGCGTGGTGCCGTAGCCGATGGTGTGCGTGCCCTTGCAGAGGCTGCTGCCGTTGGAGGGGAAGATGGTGTGGACCACGTACTCCTCTTTGGCGCGGTAAGGGTTGATGGGCAGCATTTGCAGCCCCGGGCCACGGATTTCCAGAATGGAGTTGTCCTTCTTGGTCCCCGACTCCATATAGTCGTCCTTCTTGCGGCTGCCTCGGTGGTAGGCCCTGTCCCGGGTCAGCAGCTCACCAGCCCGGTGCACGTACCAGCAGATGGCCCCCAGGACCAAGAAGAGGAAGACGAGAGCCACGGCCCCACCGATGATGCCGGCCAGGGGCARGCCTGCCACGGGACCGGCGTTCTGCTCCTGGTTGAGCGTGGTGGTGGGGCCATAGCTGTCCGCCGTCTCTGCCTTGGCACACACCGGTGTCTCATCGGCCGCGTAGGTATTGCCGGTCTCCATGGTGACCATGCAGATGATRTAGGTGGACTTAGGCTCCAGGGCTGTCAGCAGGTACTCGGTCTTGTCCCCCTGCACCAGGGTCTCTGTGATGGAGCCTACGGCCGGGCTGTGGCCCAAGCGTAGCCAGCTGAGCCGGAAGGAGGAGGCAGGGAGCGTGGCCTTCCACGTGATGCGGATGGAGTCAGCTGTCAGGGGCTTCACCTGGATGACCAGGGTCTTGGCACCGTCACCCGTGGCCATGGGGTAGTCGATGTTGGAATCAGGGAGGCGCAGCCCAGGCCTCTTGGCCTTGAGGGTGAAGAGCGAGCCCTGGGGCGTGGTGGCGGAGGCGTGGTTGCTGGCCGTGGTCTTGGCCGCTGCGTTGGCCGCCCCACTCTGTGACCCTGTCTCAAAGCACTCGTCCATCTCGCTGGTGATGTCCTTGATGGCCATGCCGCGGACCTTCTCGGGGCCCTGGCACATGAGGCCCCGCACGTTGACCACGGCGGCCCGCGCCTTCACCCAGTCCCGCAGCCACATGAGGTTGCAGCCGCAGAACCAGGGGTTGTTCCGGAGCAGCAGCTGCGCCAGGTTCCCCAGGTCGTCGAACAGGCCGCGGGGCAGCGTGGTGAGGTTGTTGTTGGACAGGTCCAGCCGCTCCAGCTCGCGCATCTTGGCCAGCGTGTTGTAGGGGATGTGGCTGATGGCGTTGTCCTGCAGGTAGAGCTTCTGCAGGTGGGCGCTGGGCAGGTTGAGGGGCGGGGCGGCCAGGGAGTTGCGCACCAGCGAGAGCTCCGTGAGGTTCTGCAGGCGGCTGAAGGTGTCGTCGGCGATGCGCTGGTTGGCCAGCAGGTTGCCGTCCAGCACCAGGCGCCGCAGGCTGTTGAGGCCCTTGAAGGCGTGCAGCGGGATGGTGGAGATGCGGTTGTCGTCCAGCCGCAGCTCCTCCAGCGTGTGGGGCAGCCCCGAGGGGATGCTGCTCAGGTGGTTCCGGCTCAGGAAGAGCAGCTTGAGCTGTTTGCTGTCGGCAAACGCGTCCTCCTCGATGCTGACGGTGGACACGGAGTTGTCGTCCAGGTGCAGCTTCTCCAGCAGCGGGATGCGGGCCAGGGAGTCGCGGGCGATGGTGCGCACGTTGTTGTCCTGCAGGTGCAGCTCGCGCAGGGACCGGGGCAGGTTGATGGGGAACTCGTCCAGGTCGTTCTCGTACAGGTAGATGACCTGCACGTTGGCCTTGGTCTTGAGGTCCTGGGGGATGCCCGCGTTGTTGATCTGGTTGTTCTGCAGGTACAGGGTGGTGGCGTCGTCGGGGATGTCCGCGGGGATGGAGGTGAGCCCCCGGTCGTTGCAGTAGATGAAGCCATTGTCACAGCGGCACACGGAGGGACAGGTGGTGCTGTCGATGACCTCCGTCAGGAAGGCGATCAGCCCGTAGCAGAGGAACAGCCAGTCCCGCAGGTCCATGGTGGCCGTAGTCATCACAACCGTGGCCGTGACGGTGGTGGCAGGTGTGGTGGTGGCGGTGGCAGCAGGGTGTGCCACCACCATGGTGGACGGCTGGGGGAGCCGGGCCCCACCTCACCTGGAGCCTCAACACCTGCAGAGAGCACAAGACAGGTGACAGGAGGACACAAGACAATGACAGCAGCCTGAGAAAGGAGTGGCGTGCCCAGCTGCCTGCTGCCCAGGGGTCATCGCCGTTTGTCCGGCAGCGCCACGCCAGGCTTAAGGCCCAGGTGGGCTCTCTGGCCGAGGCTGGGCTCAGTAACGTCGGCTAACGCCACATCCCCTTCCAGGAGCTAAACTGGCGCTTTCTGCTCCCGGGTGTCACCGGGAGGCTTGGGGGAGGTTAGTCCCAGCCACCAGGCTGCAGCCGGGCCTCTCRCAAGATTTCACGCTAAGCCACTTTTATGGACCCTGCTAAAAGGTGCCGGTCAGTGTGGAYGGGTGGACTCGGGGCATGCTGTGTGGACTTGGAGCGGCCGTTTCCCCCTGGAACGGAGAGCGCCCAGGGTCTGAAGGGAAAGCTTTTGAAAGGCCTCGGAGCTCGCAGGGGGTGTCGCTGGGACCTGGCAGCTGTGTCACTGGTGGGTGGCGAGCACCGAGCTTCATTGTCTGGTGGCAAAACACCTTCTCCTGCTTGTCGCTCGTACACTTTATAGACAGGAGGAGAAGGTGTCAGCAGAGCGGCTTTCTTGTGTATTTACAGAAATCACTCGTTACAGAGGCGCCTTCCCGGGCCCCGCGTTCTGTGCTGAGTGGGAACTCATTCCACACCTTGCCCTTCCCCATCCCCAAACTTTCAGCTCTTCAGAAAAGAAAAAAAAAAGTGTCTATGCCTATCTGGATCTCTCTCTCTCTCTCTCTCTCTCTCTCTCTCTCTCTCTATATATATATATATATATATATATATATATATATATATATATCGGCTTTCTTGCATTTACAGAAATGAGACAAATAAGAGGGGAGGCGGCGTCTGCACGCTGAGGGAATTGTCAGCAAGGTGTAATCTCAGTTTTCACAAATGGAAAAATTGCGGCGTAGATTTTTCTCATATTATTTTACTGTTCATAGTGGTAAAAAAAAAATCAATTAAAGAGAAATTATCTTTCCGACTCAGTAGGGTAGGCGTCTCTGTACAGGTGGCAAAGGTCTACTGGGAAACTCCSGGGTCGTGAGACTTTCCGTGGTGGGACATGATGGCTTCTCAGGCCTGAGCCAAGGCTCCAGCCTGGGAGGGCCTCCCGGAGGGTGGAGGAGAGCCAGCACCTTGCTCGTGCCACAGTGACTGAGTGTCGTGTTCCCCTACCAGGCCAACCCTGTCTGTTCCTGGCCGGCTACCCTCTCCACCCTGCAAACTCGTCTTCACCGTCCAGGACCCAGTTCTGCTAAGTCCTCCAAGTACCCCAGCGAGAGCGTCCTCTGCCCCATCCACCCCCTTGTCCATGCTTCCATCTGCCAGTCCTTCCATGCATCCGGCAATCCACCATATCCACCCACTCTCTGTCYACCCATCCACTTGCCCACTGACCCATCGTCCATGCCTCTGTCCATCCATCCATCACACCTTACTGAGCATCTACCATGTGCCAGCTCCTTGGGGCCCCATTCTGTGGGCACAGTAGCTCACACTATAATACAGACTTTGCTTAGATCTTTCTGAATTTTTAAGTCATTTAATTCTCTGAGCAAACGGTGAAATCAATGTTCCTTTTTTTTTTTTCTGTCAATACTGGGAATCGAACCCAGGACCTTGCCCATGCTAGGCAGGTGTTCTGCCAYGGTGAGCCACGTCCCGGCCTCCGTGCCCTTCTTATTCACATTTAACAGGTGAGAAAGCCAAAGTTTACAGATGTCGACTTTCTCAAGGCCGATTGAGACGTGAAGGGGAGACTCGGCTCTCTAGGTCACAGGCCGCAGCCCCTCACTGCCGGGCTCGCAGCTCCGAGTGTGGTGTGCTGTGGGCACTTGGTGTTTTCATGCCCCTGACTAAACTGTGGTGTTAAAGGCAGGTCCTGTGGCCCTGTGGCCCTGTGGCCCTGTGTGGCTTGGCATTAGTGACCACCCAGGATGGGAGGGAGCAGGCCCTGAGTTGTCCTTGCATCCTTAAGCTCCTCTGGTATCCACATGGACTTCCGCTTGGCCAGCCCAGCAGAGCTCCCGCCTGGCCCTGGCGTATGCATGGGCCCCTCTTAGGGCCTTGGTGGCATAGAGCTTTGACCATGAGGCGGACCCAGTTCAGGTCCTGTCTGGAAGCAACTGAGGGCGAGGGAGGGGCGTGCAGGGTGCAGGGCCTGCCCCAGAGCTGGAGGGCGAAGAAGCCCCAGCCCAGGCCAGGCAGCCAGGACCCCAGTGGCCCCTGCTGACATCTCTGGAGACTGGGGATTGGCCTTGGCTTCCCGAACACAGAGCCCAGCCCCCCCTCCCCTGAGCTCCCTGCTCTGTGTGGTGTGGAAAGCTACCAACGTCTCTGTTGTCTGTTTCCTTGGTGACCCAGGAGGCCCTGACTCCCAAGCTGGTCTCTGACCCCCTCCTTCTCCTAACTCCCTCTGATCCAGAGCTTTGCCCCCTGTTCTGCAGCCCCTTCTGCCCTCCTGGGCACCCAGAGTCACCTGGAAAAGTCCTCATGTCACCCCCCCCCAATGCCCTCTAAGACCCCACRGGAGCCTGGTGTGGTGGTGCACATGCAATGCCAGCAGCTCAGGAGGCTGAGGCAGGAGGATCACAAGTTCAAAGCCAGCCTCAGCAACTTGGCAAGGCCCTAAACAACTTAGCAAGACCCTGTCTCAAAATAAAAAATAAAAAAGGGCTGAGGATGTGGCTCAGCGGTCGAGTGCCCCTGAGTTCAGTCCCTGGTATTAAAAAAAAAAAAAAAAAAAAAAGGTCCTCGTCTAGGAGGCAAGTGGCACAACCCAGCAACTTTGTGCCTTCTTCGCTGCTGTGTCCCCTGGGCCCATTGTGTAGACGAGGAAACTGAGGCATGCGAGACTTGACCCTGTCCCTGGCCTCCACCCCAGGCCCCTCTCACTGTGGGACCTCATGGCTTGACCAGAGTGCTCTGCTGGGGACGAGCCCCCGCCTGCCCTGGGCACAGTGGTGGYGAGGGGGCTGGAGCTGAGGGCTCTGCGGTGCCTCCTGCCTGCTCGGCCTGTGGTGTAAGCAGAGCAGATGGACACGTGGGCACCCAGCCCTCACCTCTCATTGCCTCTGGGACTAGAAGGGCACCCACCAGGTCGCGGCAGAGGACAGTCTTGAAGCAGAAGATGGCCTGTGGCCTGGGCAAGCCAGCCTTCAGGGCACAGGGACAGGTGAACCCTCAGGCCAGGCCTTGCCTGCTCCCTCTTCCCAGGTGACAGGTGCAAAGGCCCGGGGGGCGGGGGGCACCTTGCCTGACCCTCACCTTCACACAGGTCCTTGGTTCTGTTTTGCAAGGGACCAGGCTCTGAGCTAAGGGGCCTGTCCAGGGTCACAGCCCACCCAAGCTGCCAGCTCCCCTTTGGGTAAAGAGCCAGGACCACGAGGGGTGTGGAACCTGTCCCAGGGGCTTATCAGCAGGGAAGGCGGGCGGGCAGTGGGGCCTGGAGCCAGGAAGACCCAGACCCGCTCCAAGGCCACCTATCCTGGTCTCTGGGATCAAGTCTGAGCACTGCTGCCCAGGCCCTGCACCTGGCCCGAGGACACACACCCTCCCTGGTCTGTCACTGCTGAGTCTGGCGCGAGGGACCCCGTGGCTTCTGCCCTTGGCGGTGGCGGGGCAGACTTGTTAAGGCCAAGGCCAAGGCCAGCCACCACATTCTCTGGCATGGACATCTGTTCCTGGCACCCGCTCAGCTCGTGGCCACGGTCTTGAGCCTCCAGAGGCCCCGGCGTCATAATAGAGTCTAAATTGCACCTTTCAGAGATGCGTGATGGATAACCGGGACGCGCGGGAGGCAGGGACCCAAGGCCTTTCCGCTCCTCCGTCTGCCGGCTCATCCATCTTGGCTAGAGTCTCCCCTGCTTCTCCCGTCCCCAGGGCCAGCCTGGAGAGTGAGCCCTGAGGCTCCAGGAACAGGGGAGCCCGGGGAGGGGAGGGCGTCAGCAGGTGGCACCTCGCCAAGGAGCCCTTAACTGCCCGGGCGATTGCTTCTTGTTGTGTGTTTGGTAGTTGATGTGGCCATCAAATTAAACCTGGTAAATGGCCCATCTTTTACGGGATCACCCGTCGTCATCCTGCAGATCCCGCAGACTCCACTGAGGTGTGAGTTATGACCTGCCGGCCCTGTGACTGACAGCTGGTGCCACTGGTGGTAGAGGAGGGGAGCCGCAGATGACTTAGGCTGGAGGTCCCCCTTGGCTGAGGGGGGCTGCACTTCATTCTTGGTGCTCTATCTGTTGCTGGCTCCCGCCACTTTCCAGGATAGACAATTCTGGGTTCAAGTCCTGCCTCTGCCACTTAGCAGGCTGTGTGGTTTTGCGCACCTTGCTTGCACTCTCTGAGCTGCAGTTTCCTCATCTATAYGTCGGAAACTTACAAATGAGAGCACGATGAGTTGATACTCCCAGAAGCTCCTTGTAATGCAGCCTGTGTGTCCTTGATGCCTGGATTAAAAGCTGCTCTGGTTCTCTGGCTGCCCCCTACCTGCTCGTGGCACCTGGGGCTCSTCTGTGTGGCCCCTTCTTCACTGACCTGCTCCTACTTGGCAATGGGCATGCTCCCCATTGGCAATACCCTCCCCCACTGAGTTGGAAACAGTGACCCCAAGCCTGGGCCACACAAAGCCAGCAGCTGGTCCCTGCAGCACCAGGCCCTCCCGGGTGGCCCCAGCCCCTGTGGGAGGCTGCCTAGGCCCAGGGTGGGGAGGGACCTGCGGCCCACGGTTCGGCTCTTTTCTTGGAACCCCTGGAATTCTGACATGCCACACTGTCTCCAGCAGTGCCCCTGGGCCCTTTGCACATGCTGTTTCTGCTCCTGGGCCATCATTACCCTTCCCCTTGTCCCCACAGGCCACCTCACTCTGCCCCAGGCCTTGACTCCACTGCCCCCCCATGAAGCTCTGTGGGCTGCGGCTGGCCCGCTCGGCTCCTGCACCCCCTGCCTGGAGCAGCAGGGTCTGGCAGCACCTGTCACTGTCCACCAACTGGATGGGTGCCCRGTTGTCACCCCTGGCTTCCAGGCTCCTGCTCTGTCGTCTTCCCCAAATCCTGCCAAGCCGGGCTGGCAGAGGCCCCAGGGAGTGGGGGTGAGCCCCCAGGACACCTACTCTGCCGGCCTGGGGGGATAGCGGTACACTCCTGCAGGAAGCCAGGCTGGGCCGGAGCCAGGGTCCCAGCTGCCGGTCCCAGCTCTCCTTGTTGACCAGTGAAGGCAGCTCATCCGGGGACCTCCTGGTGCGGGTCCCCAGAGGAAACAGGGAATTCTAGGTTCACTGGCCCCAGGAAGGAGACGTGGGAACTAGAAAAGAGCAGGAGGTCCTAGGAGCCGGGTCCACAGGTGGCGTCCCCGCCCCCGCTCTCCAGTGCCATGTTGTGGAGGCACCCATCTTCCTGGGAGGGTGGTGATGGCRGGGGGTTAGGTGGTGCACGAGGCCCAGGCCCTGACTGGTTTGGAAGGGGAGCTTCTGCCCCCAGGAAGAGCCCAGGGCCTCCTCTGAGCCAGGCTCCGGGCAGCTCCCACATGCCTTTTCCTCAGGAGGCCAGGGCAGGAGCGGAGTGGGGAGATGCCCAGCCCCCGAGGCAGCTGGTGGCCTGGGCACAGGAGGCGCTGGGCGCCCACTTCTTGCCAATAATGCCTGGGGCTCCCCATGCTGGGGGTGTCGCGGGTGGACGCCCTGGTCAGGGGAGCCCAACCCAGAGGCCTGAGTCCACTCCAGAGCCAGGAGCCTGGGCTGGCCTCTGCCAGGCCTTTCCCCGCACATGGTCCTGCAGACAGATCGGAGAGGGGCTCAGAGCAGCTCAGGGTAAGCTGAGAAGCCCACGTGTTCCAGACACTGGGGTGGCACCTGACAGGTGGCCCTCCTTCTCCATAGCGCCCCCCACGCGGGGGCCTCCCTTGGTGCCTTAAGTTCCCTATACACCTGGCCTGGGCCGTGTTCMTCTTTCCCTCTCCACATGGCCAAGTCCTGCCCTCCCTCCCTTCAGGCCTCAGCCTTCCCTGAGCATGCTGCCTCGAATGTCGGGGCCCCTCCTGAACCCACAGCGCTCTCACCTACCTCTGTGACGTGGTCCCCCCCATTAAACCCTGAGGCCGGGTCYTCCCCTCTTTCCAGTGCCATTCGCAGCTGCTGAGCAGGGGGGGSCAGCAGGCTGTCCTGGGAAGCCAGGGTCGGGGGCCTCAGAGGGGGCCAGTAAGAGAGGGCGAGCATCTGGCCCCCTTAACATTTTGGCAGGAAAATAAACACGTGCTCATGACTGTGAGGCTTTGAAGCTTCGGAGAGGAGGTTGGAGGCCACCTCTCGCCACCCCACTCCTTCCGCTGGCCCATCGGGCACTGCGCCTTCTCTGCCAACCTACTGGCCAGCCCTTGGCGGTGTGCCCACATGGCCTGGCGTTGGCCTGGACTGCTCAGACCCCAGGGCCCTCTCCCYGCCAGCAGCTGTCCTGGGGGCTCAGCTGTCAGCTAGACGGAGGGAAGAGGCCTGCAGCAGCCTGGTGCTCAGGGCGGCCTGGGGGGCGTCCCCTCCCCACCCTCCCAGGAAGCCCCTCTCCTGGGAAGGTGAGTAGCCTGGCGGCCAGCCAGGGATCTGTGCAGCTGCTGGGCCTGCTGAGAGGTGGCCTCCAGTCTCAGGTCCTCTGTACAATGGGACCATAAATGATCAACTTCCCCAGGCTCTTGAGAGCATAAAATAAGGTGACTCCAGTGCCTGGCAGAGTGTGTCCAGAATGAGGGAGCCACAGTCACCAGCCCTAGGTGGTGGCATTTAGGTGGTGGCACCTCCCCAGGTGCAGGTGCTAGCGGGCCAGGCAGGGGAGCCGAGACTGTTAGAGGGGCTTTCCCAGGTCCTCATCAGGCCCAGGGCCCACAGGCCCATAGTGGCATTCCCTCATGACAGTGGGCCAGGTGTGTGACCCTCAAGGACCTTCTAACTCTGTCACCTGCAGGTGCTAGCCAGTTTCACCCATCGCCCCAATTTCACTTCTGGAGCCTGTCCAGTAGTGCCACCCAGCATTGGGGATGCGGTGGGGTGGGGGTGGGGATCCTTTTAAAACCTAAAGTTAATTATTTTTCTAATTTCCAGCTGCATGCATTATGCATCAGCTGTTATGTTGGCGGTAATTGCAGACAGGTATGCAAATCCACTAGATATGCGCAGCCTGTGCCCTAGCCCGCCTGGGCCATCGGGATGGAGCCGGTGCCCAGAGGCGGGCTTCCTGGGCCTCAGAGAACACGGATGACTTCAAAAAACCAGACTTTAAGGTTGTGTCTTAGGAGGTTAATTATATTGATGACACTGTTCCATATTGAGCTATTGGGCGGGAAGGGGTAGTGGCGATGAAAGGAGACACGAGGAACTTTGTTTCTGCCTCAGCATCATTTAATCAGGCGCTCCCACCTGACGCTGGCCTGCCTACACTGAGACTCTCCCCCTGGGAAGCAGAAGGAAAGCCCAGTGGAGGGTCAGCGGGAGGAGAGTCGATGGGCATTTATTTTGTGGGGGGCTAGGTAGAAGGAAGGCAGGGCAGTGCCAAAACCAGGGTGGGGTGGCCAGAGGGTCTGTGTTGTTGGCTCCTCTGCCACCCGCAGGATCCTGGGCCACAGCAAGGGAACCAGAGAAGCTCGTGGGCAGGAAACACCGCTGGTGACTAGGCTTCCTGATCCGGAGTCAGAGGATCCCTGGGAGCTGGGGCCTCTCGGGAACCATGGGTGTCCCTGACAGGCAGGACTACTGTCCTGCTCCTAACGAGACCCCCCTGTTTATTTACCACCAGTTTCTTTGTCCCCAGGGGATCGTCTGGCTCCTCCCTGGCATGAAGGGGCCCTGAAACATCCACTGAACCAATGATCGAGGCCCTAGCACCTAGAACCCGGGACTGACTGGGTAGAGGGGACGAAAGAGGGAGGCATCGTGCTCAGGTCTACCCCGGGAAGTCACCGTGACCCTTGTCACAGCCACCCAGACAGGCAAAGGGCTTGGTCTGAATTGTGCAGTAGGCCATGAGGAACCCGGCACGGGCCTGGGCCTCCCTAGAATCACCGCCCAGCACCTTCGCACCCACCTTCCCCGGGCTCGGCTCTGCAGGGAGCAAACCCTTGAAGACCTGCTCACCACCACAGGTGGCTGGCTACAGGGGCGTCTCAGGCATCTGACCTGGGCCCACCTTCCCAGCTTGAAGGCCTCTTCCCCTTCCTGCCCACCCACAGATGAACACGACGGGGGACCCCAGCCCCAGGAGCTCGGAATCTGGAGGCAAAAAGGACTCAGAGGTAGTCTGTGCTCTACAGATGAGGAAAGACTGAGGCCCAGAGTGTAAGAGGGACAGGCCCAGCACAGAAGTCAGCCCTCCCCGGCGGCCACCTCCAGCCTTGGCAAGGGTAACAGGTGCCAAGTCAAATCCTTTCCGGGGGTTTGGCCCAGGAAGGGTGATGGTGGGCAGCGTCCCAACTCAAGATGGTCTCGTGGGGCTGTTTCCCACCTGGAGCAGGTCAGGAGACACCTTTTACCCTGTGGACTCAGSTGGGGTAGTGTTGGCAGTGTCCCTTCCCAGCTGGCCACTGCCCCTCAGGGTCTCAGTCCCTTAAGCACACAGGGGAGAAGGGACCAGCCTGAGGTCACAGGGCTCACACCTGAGGGCCAGGGCCCAGCCCAGGTGTGTCCAGCCCCTCAGCCCATCTGGTYCTTTTTGTGCCTCTGCCGCTGGAGCAGCTTCACCATCAGTACTTGGGCAGCAGGCCTGGGGACAGCAGCTGCCCCCGTCTGGCTCGGCCTCCCCAGCGGGAATTGCCCCGGAGAGGGTAGGGACCAGTGCTGGGCCTGAGGAAGGGATGTGGGGTAGGGAGGTGGACGGGGGCAGGGTCGCGCTGGGGCTCACCGCCACGGCCCTGCTGCCTGCCGGGCTGGCGCGCCTTCATAATAAATAACAGCAAATAGCCCATCCGCAGGGCATCCTTCACGCCGGTGGCTAATAACACGGCTATTAATGCCCCCGCAGCCGGCGTGCGCCGCGCCGCGCTGACGGATGTCCCAGGCCCTGGCGCAGTCATAAATCAGCCCCTCTCCTGGGGCAGAGCGCAGGGAAGTGTCATTTTCCATCTTGGTAATGAATTGGGGCTTCCCTGCCCTGCCCAGGGCGCCGCTGCTTGAGGTTGCCTGGGATGTGTGTTTGTGGAGGCGTGGCCCTCCCTCCTGCCTCTGGGAGCCGGAGGAGCAGGCCCCGCCCAGGRGRAGCAGGCCCCGCCCAGGGGAGCAGGCCCCGCCCAGGGGAAGCAGGCCCCGCCCAGGCCACTTCAGATCTAAAGAGGGAGCGCTCAGAACCTTCTGTGTGACCCTGGGGCACTCACTGCTTGTCTCTGGGCCTCAGCTTGCTCCTCTCACCAACCAAGGGCCAGCACTGGAAGTCAAAGCAGATGATGTCCGGCCAATAGAAGCCGGGTGACAGCTCTGGATCGGTCCACGCTGGGTCTGTCCAGTCAGAGCAGGGGCAGGCCCAGAGGGACAGGTCTTGTGGCCATCCTCCAGTTCAAGGGTAACAGGTGCCAAGGCCAGTGGCCTTGGTCCCCAAAGCTCCTTCCCTAACCCACGACAAGGCCTCCCTGCGACGAGGTAGCACATCTTTCCTGCCTGAGCAAGCAGAAGCCCCATGTTTTGTAAAATTGTGGCAGGCGGCAATGGAGCCCCAGACCCGGGTGCTCTGCTGAGATGCCCTGTGTGACCGGGTCAGGATGGGGGCCTTTAGAGGAGGGGCCCCAGCTGTCTTGTGCCCTCTCTAGGCATGAGGAGCCCTTGGGCACCTCTGAGGGCCACCCTGGGCCCTTCCACCTCCACCTCCCTCAGTCTTACCTCCTTCACGGCTGTCAGTGGAGCCTGTGGTGCGACTGGGGTCTTGCTCCAGGGGCTCCTGCCAACGTTGCTGCAGGCTGGGCAGTTGCTGCAGGCTGGGCAGCGGGCTGCTTTCACATTCCTGCCCCAGGGCCCCGACAGGCCAAGCCCACTCAGGTTATAGCCTGCAGACTTGGGTGGTGGGCAGCGCTGCTGCGGCACGTGAGGACGCAGAGAGGGACCCTGTGCCTCTGACTTCCGGGCTCCCCTGCCCAGTTCAGGCAAGGCTGCGGGTCCCAGGCAGCATCCTTGTGGTCCTCGACCTGGGGTGCCGCTGGCTCCTCCTGCAGCAAGGGTCCTGCGCTCGGAGTGCACMGGGGCAGCCCCGCGGCCTGGGGGGCTCCCGGGCGGGGCCTGCGGGCGTTCTGACCCCCTGCTCCCCGGGCATGCCCTACCGACCGGCGCCCATCCGGGAAGCAGCCTGGCTGCCTGTCACTTCCACGGCCCTCTTTCAACTTTTGCCCTTTGTCTGCAGGCGGCCACCTCCTCTGAAAGGCSGCTGCGTGGCTTTTACCCCCTTTTTCTTTACCACATTTTTTTTTTCTTTTTTAAATCCCTTTAAGTCACTTGGCAGAATGGGTTGGTGCAGAGAGCGTTCTTGCGTGACAGAGCTGAGAGGAAGCCRCGCTCCAAAGAATCGGGATTCCTGCCACTCAGGCTGGCCTCCAGGGGAGGGAGGGGCCGCCCCCCGCCGAGGAGTTCAGACTAGGCCCCTGAGCTGTCAGGCCCCACGGGCCCTGCTTGGAAAGATGCTTTGGGCTGCGGGGGGCTCGGTCTCGCTTGGCTGCCCCTGTTTGTGGAGAAGCCTCTCTTGCTTGGGGGGGGCCACTATTCCAGCTTCACTCCCTGGTCTTGTCTTCCAAAGAAGAGTCCTTCTCACCGACTCCCTGCCTCCTCACCTGCCAAAAACAACACAAGCCATCAGGCCCAAGGAGACGAGGCCGGGYGGTACCACTTGCAGGGCGGGGGCAGCCTGGGCTGCAGACCCAGGGCCTGGCACAGTCCAGGCAAACGGTTTCCCTCTGAGCAACACCCCCAGCCCGGAGCCTGTTTTCTTGAATGTCACTTCCCTAGGATCCAGGGACCTACTGGGATCACTGTTCCGCATCTCCCATCTCTTTCCAAACCCAGATAAGGAGCAGCTGGCCAGGCCCAGGGCCCTTCCTTAGAGCTACCTGGTTTCCTTTTCCCTGGGGCAGAAGGAATGGGAAGAGCAGGGCCACCTGCCCAGCCCAGGGCTGGCTGTTTCCCCAGCACCTGCCTCTCTTGGTAAATGTCATTCAAAGGCTCCAACTGGACCACTACAGCCCAGGCTTCCAGAACAAGCTGCTTTTCCGACTGGGAAGTAGGATCACCGGGGACCTGRGAAGTAGGTCTTGGTGTCCCTGGCTGCTGGTGTGAGGCCACGCCAACTCTTGGTGGGGTCAGTCCTGCACAACTCCACTGCTCTGCCCTTTTGCAGAGACCCGGGGTCAGGGCAGGCTGTTCTTGGGAATCTTAAAACAAAACCAGAGCCCCCCATGCCACCCCTCATTAGCGTGGTGTGTGAAAGGCCTGGGCCTCGGTGTCCGGTTCCCCACGGGGCCCCGCTTTGGAAAAGGGCTTTCATGACACATCTGAGAGCAGAAGTACTGGTTTAACAGATCCAGAGGGGCTCAGCTGCCTCTGGGGGCTTTTCTTTTGGGGGCCAGAGGTGGCTGATTTGAGAAATGCTCATTGTTACGAACAAAAACCAGGCACCCAGGCACCACACCCCAGGTGTCTGCTCATGAGTACACGGCCGGCCGGGAACACGGGGCAAGAACGCATGTCAGGGCGAGGGGGCTGCCAAGGTAAGGCCGGGCTTCTGGGGACAGGTGGCAGGAGGCCTGAGGCCAGCAGGCTTTGTGGGGGGAATCCTGAGTGGCCAGGCCTGGCCAGCACTGCAGGTGAGGTGGGCAGGTGGCCGGGGCCCCAGGGAGGGCAGGAGACTGCAGTACGAGCCCTCATGCTGTCCCCACCGGTGCGATTCATCCAATTATAAATTGTAATTTCTCTGTGAAAGCGAGAGGTGGAAAGAGTCCAATGAGGTCACCTGCCTTCTTGGCCAGGCCAGGAAATTGTTTTGTCGCTGGGGTGGGGGTGGGGCGACTGGACCTCAGTTTGTGGAGATGGAGTCCTGGGAGCTCAGAAGCTCCAGCCGCCTCTCCATGATAGACACAAACCACCCTCTGCCTTTGAGATTGCAAATCCAGGAAGGAGGTGGCTCATACACAGGTATGTTCCCCCTTGGCACCACCCAGGGCTCTGGGGACAGGCACACTAGGAAGTCCTCCAGGGCCTCCCAGGGCCTGGCCCTGCGCAGCCCACCCGTGGACATCTCCTAACACAGGCCCATCCCTTTGCTGCTCCCTCCCATGAGCGTCCTCTCAAACGTCACCCTCCCTCCCTCCCTGCGATATCGCCACCTTCCCTCTCCAGGCACACGGCCCCACTAAGCATGATTGCAGTGACATAGCTCAGGAAGTGAGCTCCCTGGCTTCAAGGGAGGATGTAAGGCTGGATCTTCCAGCATCTGGCTCCGTACCATGCACACAGAAGGTGCTTAATAAGTGCACCCAGCAAACTCTCATTCTGCTTCCTCATTTAGAAAACCAAGGGTCTGAGCCAGGCTCTCGGTGGGCCTGTCCAGCTTTGCACACCCTGGTCAGCCTTCCCTGCTGGCCCCCCACCCATCCCCCGCATCCTCCCAAGCCTCCTGGGAACCTTGGTGTGCAGATACTGGGCTCCTGGGGGTCCCTGTGGGCGTGGGGGGTGCATGGGCTTTCCAGGTGAGCCTGGCTGGCAGTGGTTGGAAAGCATGAGCTCTGGGCAGCGCTGTGGCTCTCCCCACGTGTGGCTGCATAATGACGATCATCAGTGGCCACCTGCATTCACTGAACCAAATACGGCCCAGGAATACATATGTAAATGTGTCTGCCTGGCAGACGCCTCGGCCAGAGCCTGGCACCCACGGCGAACTGGGTTGGTAAAGCCACAGCGGGCAAAACTCACGGCTCTGGGCAGACTTGCCGAATGATCAGTTGGGTCAGCCAAGGACAAAAGGACCCATGGGGTCCCAAGGGATCAGGAATGGGGGCCTCTTTAGACTCTGGAGAGGTGACAGCTCTGTGGAGCCCCTCTTACCTGGGCCTTCTCTCCTCTCTGCTCCAGGTCTCTGCACTGAAAAACACCCCCCCTTTTTTTTTCTGACATGCTTACACAGTTTTATTTTGTTACTAACAACAACATCACAGTTGCATTAAAAGAAATTTGAAAGGAAAGAGCAAACCGGGCCAGGTGGCRCATGACTATGATTCCAGTGGCTTGGGAGGCTGAGGCAAGAGGATCTTGAGTTCAAAGCCAGTCTCAGCCAGTTAGCATGGCCCTAAGCAACTCACGAGACCCTGTCTAAATAAAATTCAAATAAAAGCTGGGGATGTGGCTCAGTGGCTAAGCCCTGCTGGTTCAAAGAAAAAAGGAAAGAAGCCAGCCAAGCCCCCAGTCCTGCAGATCTGCACCTCCTTTTGCATTTTGGCCAGATCTGCCTGTCCATTCCCACAGTCCACCAGGGAAACATGCACCTTACCCTGTTCCAGTAATTTCTGCTTTGCCATCTCCTCTGAGCCTGGGACAGCCCAACACAGCTGGCAGAATAGGGAGGACCACCTCATGGTGCAGGCTGACAAGGTGGAAAGGGACATGTCCCAGATTACACAACCTCGACCTGCAGAAAAGCTGGTGCTCCAGACTCCCAGAGCAGCCCCTCCCGMTGCAGCTTCAGGCCCAGGTGACAGAGCTAATGGAACCGAGGCCCCCCAGGCAGCCCCCAGCTCTGCCTCCCTCCGTTCCTCTGTCCATCCACCGGTCCACCCAGCTCTTCATCCACTTAGCAATAATAGGCCGAGTCCAGTCATGCTCCAGGCACTGTACAAGCCCTGGGGATCCCGAGAGAAGCCCCTGTACTCCAGGAGGCTGCAGCCTCACGGGAAAGCCCCCCGCTTGCAGGAGGCTGGCCTGAGACACACAAGGGCGCCACCTTGCCCAGCCCGTGGGGGACATCCCAGGAGATGTCCTGGGGAAGATGTTGCCATGGTCTGGGGTCTTCAGACTCACATGAGCTCAGTGGCAATGCAAAGTGGGACAGACACGGCCAGGTGTCCCCCTTGGCCACCCGACCTCCTTCCAGAGCTGTGCCCACCTTTGGCAGCTGGGGCTTCCCTCCAGAGTGGAGAYGGTCCTCAGCTTTACAGTTCCTGGCTGCCTCCAGCAAGGCCGCTCCCTGATACCAGTCCTAGATTAGCAATTAGCCCTCCTGTTTGGTTTCCACCTATGCTCTTGGGGACAGATTTATCTGTGCGTGTCATTAATCAGATGCCTGGGATGTGCTGCCGGACGCCCAGGGGGGCTTTGTGGCGGGTGACCTAGCAGAGCGGCATTTGAAGTGATCAAAGTGTCGGCCCCTCCCTGGGCAGAGCTGCCCCGAGTTGAAGGGGGCAGAGTTTAGATCCTCGTCGGCAGGTCGGCGCGGGAGCGAGCCGCGAGACCCGGTGCGCTTTCATTTGGACTTCCAGGCTGAGGTCAGCATCCGAATCTGACCTTTAGAGATGAAAAGGCACTTTGTGATCAGACCCAGAGTTTGTTCCGTGGCTGCTGGCTCCCCCCGCCAGGACAGCCAGCCACAGGGCCTGTTCTTTCCGCCCCATCCCCGAGAGTGGTTGCTCCTCCCTGATGCCAGTGCCACGGTCATGCTCCTGTCCCCGGAGGGCAGCAGGGGCAGAGGGCTGGGGCTGGGGCCGCACGCCAGGGAAGGCTTTTGCATTCGGGACTGGGATGGCTCCTGGAACGAGGTCAGCGTGATGAGAAATGATGGGAAGAGTATTTCAGGCCAAGGGAACAGCGTGTGCAAAGCGGGGCGGGGTACGTTGGGCAGGCGGAGGGGCCCAGAGCCAAATCACTGAGCTGAAGTGGGAGAGGGGAGCTTGGCCTTGGGGGAGCTTTGCAGGCGGTGCTGAGGGG